AATGAAATGAATGTGAATGAAACGAAAACTAAATACATCACCAATGTGTGCATGCCACATAAGCGGTGGGCATATTAACATGTGCCCACCGTGGGTAGGGGAGCATTAGTCAGAGCATCCACAATGCTTTGAGTTCAATTACAAAAAATTGTATGCCACCTAAGAAATAGACTTAGTCTAAAAAAATGTATTCTCCAATGCAAACAAAAGTAGACTGGGTCCTGCTGACGTGGCAGCCCAAAAAAGAGACCCGATCTACCCTTAAGTCTGTTTTAGACCCAAGTAGAGACCTAGTCTCTTTGCATTGAAGTGGATTTTAGCAATTTTACATAATTTTATCCATGTCATGAAAGACTTTGGTTTATTTATATGCCACATAGACAAGTTTAGACCCAATGCATTGTAGATGCTCTCATGAGTGATAATGTAAAGAAAGATAATTAAGGAGGAGGTAAAAGAAAGATGAGAAAATTAAGGAAACAAATTAAGTAGGATAAAATTAAATTGTATATATGGATTATAAATATGAAAATTTGTTTTAATATACCCGTAACTGTATAAATTGCCCAAACACCTCAAGCAGTTATATTGGTAACCAAACCAAGTTAAAAATTAAGGGTAATTTGCACTTACACGTTACCCATTTTAAAGTATTTGCACTTGTACAAGAGGTGAGATTTTATTTGCATCTTTACCAGAAAATATCAGTTATTATATCAATTACCAAATAAAGATAGTAACTGTCCCTTAATTTGCGCATGGATAAGAGTATAGGATTTGCACTAAGAAAAAAAAAAAATATGGTAAGTTTGTATACCTACTAATTAGGATGTTGTTATACCCTACTAACCGTCTCTTAATTATTTTTGGACGCAATAAAAAATATAGTACCTTAATTCGGTTTTTTTAATGTGTTATTTATTTTTTCCAGTATATATTGCATTTATACAGTATATATTGCATTTATTACATCTCGTGTTTTTTTTCTGTATATTTATAGTATATTTTCTGGTTTAATACATACAAAATACACAATCAAACTTATATATAGAAGATATACTCATTATATAATGAGGACATAAATAAAATACACAACAGATATACAAAAGATAAATCAATTTTTGTCAATATATACATAAGATATACAGAAAAGACATTAGACCACTTTGAATTTCAGAAATCAATTCATTTTTTCAGCCACGAGCTCTCCGTCGGGCTTCCAACCCACGTCTGATCAATCCAGCGACCGTTATAGCCACCACGGCATGGCCCCGCGGCCTCCGGTTGTCAGCCACAATGACCCGACCACCATAACAAACCACCACGTTCTTTTTTTCTTCAGTTTTTTCTTCTCTTTTTCTTTTTATTGTTTTGATCGATGATCCTCTCTGTTGCCGAAAAGGAGATAAGATAATCCTTTTTAACTCGTTGCCAAAAAATAGATGAAGAGAAAAAAAAAAATCTCCTAGCAAATCTAGAAGAAAATTCACAAAAAGAAAAAAATAAAAAGATGGGGAATATATTTCTATATATTCATCACATCTTTAGTCTAGAAGAGATCCTTATTACGGGCTGTTAATTTAAGACAAAGTGTGCCTAAATTTCATGTCGCTTTTCTTCTCATGGCTTGACTGGGACTCCACATGATGGGTCAGCGACAGAGATGAGGCCAAAGAAAATTTTCGCGTCGAGACGAGTTTTCTCCATATCCATGGCGTTTGAAGAAGAGAGAGAGAGAGAGAAGAGGAAAGAGAGATAAAGATAACGGAAAAAGGAGAGAGAGAGAGAGAGAGAGAGAGAGAGAGAGAGAGAGAGAGAGAGAGAGAGAGAGAGAGAGAGAGAGAAGAGATACCAATTCAGTCCATATAATTAAATGGTTACCTATTCAAAACCAACTTCTAGCATATATACAAATAATATAACCAATTCAATCCATATAATTAGATGGTTACCTATTCAAAACCAACTTCTAGCATATATACAAATAATATAATAATTTTAGTTACTTTGCTAATAAAAATATAATAGTTATAAATGTGCAATAAAGATGGAATTGTGCAGTAGACCGTGCAATTTTCTCAAAAATTAAAGGCCAAGTTTAACCGAATATATGGGCTAGACTCGTTCCATCATCATGGACTTATCTTAAAGCCCATGAGGATAGAACTCACGGACTTATCTTAAAGCCCATGAGGATAGAACTCACAAAAGCCCGTGTCATAATGATTTTGCAATCAATCAATCGAGAGCTAGGGAGGGTAAAATTTGAGAGAGAATGATACACCGAAAATGGAGTTTGCTCACCGGCCCGGCGACCATTCTCGCTGGAATAGTTGGCACAGTCGTCGTCGCCGACCTCCTATTTGTTGAAAACGTTAGATTTTATTTCGTTTTTATTGTATTTATGTGCCGACCTAGGGTTTGTACCTCGTAGATGAAATTGTGTTATAATATTTGGGTTTTCTGTGGGATATATTTGCTTTTATTGGTAAATTATACTTTTGAATCGATAGAGGATTTTGATTTTTGTTACATATTTTTTTGTCTTAGAATTTCTTCATGCTTCTGGAAGTGTAGATGTTGAACTTTAGCCGGAGAGAAAATAATGAGTTAATTCTTAAGGAGCTTCGAATGATTCGATTATGGGATATTTGAACAATTTGCCTATAATCAACCATCAACCCCGGCCGCCACAGAAATGAGGGTCTTTAGTGAAACTGTGGTGCACTTGGTTTTAGGAAACATTTAACAGAAGCTATATTACATTTTGGTTAGGTTAGCTATATCTGGGTGACCTCAAACTCCATTTTCAATTAAGTGCCAATTAACGAGATATAAATGAGGGTGTAAACGAGCAGTTAGCTGAATCTTAATCAGTTGTGTTTTGTACTTACATTTCCATGTATCACCAGCTTTTCTAGTTCTTCTCGTGTCATTTTTTCACTTTGCTAATGTGCAACAATGGTTTGACAGAGTTTGATGATTTTATTGCCTGAATGGGAAGTGTTCTTAGTTTATCAAACGAAACTATATGCAACACTTGATGGTTTTAAGTTTCTGATTGGATGCTAAAAGTTTAGCCAACTTTAGTTGACCACTCATTCAGTCGAGAGAAGCAAGTGATCGGTTCTTCTGTGATATTCCATCTTTTGTTTTCAATGTGATGATACAAGATTTGTTATCTTAGCCCATCTTCCGTCTTAAATCTTATATCAGTTTCATATATGAGTTAGAGGAAGTTTGTGTAATACTGGGATTTTGTTCTTTCCAGTGTGATTACTACTGAACCTGAGGTTATCTTTAATAAATTTGGGGAGTATGCGGAGATAAAAATCACTCAAAATCGTGGGCTTCTACATGGTCTGTATATAGTAGCTAGAAGGTGTTGGTGGTACATTTGATGCCTCTTATAACCTGAAAAAATCAATATTATATAAATAAGAAATTGTTGTTTTACATTTTTCTCGATGTTCTTGTCAAATTACATGTTCCCACTTCGTATTGTTGTTCGGTAAGCTCTTTAATGATTATTTGACTGCATTTTTATTGGACTTCTTGTTGACAATGTTCAACTGGTTTTCGTATTCTGACAATTCAGGATTGGTTACGCAAGATGGATCAAAAGAAGCAAGAAGCTGCAGCTTCAACCAAGTAAAAGAGGGATAATTGTTAATTTAGACTGTCGTTCGTTTGGCTTGAGGTTTTCTGTCTGCTGCAAAAATGTGTGATCGAATAAGCTAAAAATATGAAAGCTGTCTGAGTTTAATATGTTTTGATACACCGATGTTATCGTTATTTTCTTAGCGTTGATTATTCGTTTTTGTTATGGTACTTTTGGCTTCACATGGGGCTGTAATGAATCGCTTTGAATTACAAGGACTCAGTTGATGCAAGTGTTGGTGAAAGTTGTCAGATTTATAATAGATTTCAGGATGTGTTTACATATTGCTGATCCTATTACCTACACTGAAAACCTGAAAATAAATAAATAATAGTATTAACTTAAGAGATAGACAATTTACCAAAAAAAAAGGTAAATTTGTAAAAGTCATCCCCAATTATTTATGTGCAACAAGCATTGCCATGATCAAATCATTCCAAGTGTCTATAGGTCCAGGCAAGCACCAGTGCAGGCAGTCATTCTGAATCCTCCCATCTTTACCCTTCTCCTCATATGGGTGAAACCGCCGGTAAACACCCGGATGGCCGTCCGGCCTCAAAACCGACATCAAAGTCGTGTCCAACAGCTCCAATCCCGACAACTTCCCGGCCGCCCGATCAAATTCATCCATCTCCACCGCCCGCATTCTCCCGTCCACTCCATTCACCTCCACCTCCCCAGCCCTATACGGCACAGTCCGATTACAATACCCTCCCGTGTCCCACTCCCCATTCTCAAAGTGATCGGGCGTGGTGGTCCGTAGGAACACACGGCGGGCCCTATGGCCCGACCGGCCCATGAATTCTAGGGTCGTGTTGAGGGCTTTACGGTACGCGTAGTAAAAACCCAACTCTGACGTGTTTTTCTCGTGGCAGTTATGGCAGCCGACCACCACGTTTTGCTCGTGATATATTGCAGACTTTAGGAACCATTTTCCAGCCCCGATTACTATGTAGTTGAATTTATTGTATTGCTTGGACCATATTGCGTCGGGCTCGTCGAGGAAGAGGTGGGTCAGGCCCGACGATACGCCATTGTCGTCCTCGAAGGTGGATGCCCTCGTGAGGAAAGGGGCCCACACGACTGAGACGGTGAAGTTGTGGGAAGGGAAGGTCCACCTCCGGTTCTTGTACGCCTCGTCGTGGTACACTTCCACAGCTTCTTCCACCTGCATGCAATATCAAATTTATCCTTTTCTTCAAGTAGCAGGGGCAAAGACACACACACAGATGAACCTCATGTATATATTACCTCAAACAACATGTATGAAGTAAATGCAAGAAATTGTACCTGTGAGAGAATGCAGAGCAAGGATTGGACGTGATTGCGCATGATCGAATCGCCGATAAAGGCTAGCGACTTATCCTTCATGATCTCGAAAAAGTTTGTGGGATCAAGTTTGGGCAGATCACAATCCTTGGGCTTCCACCTCCAGTAGACGTAATCGGAATCCGGCCGTCCGTTTCTTAAGCAATTCTGGGGAGGTTCGATCGTGCGGCAAGTGGCGTTGGTGTAAGCCGGGCCACCAAAATCAGGAACCCATTCTCCTAAGAACAAATTACAGCTTTCTGTGGGAGCAGACACGTGAAAATAACACAAGCTTGAAGTGAAGAAGCGATAAGCAAGACCCAATAACAGAAAGAACACTGCAGCAATCTTCACCCACAGTAGTGAAAGATTTTTGCTCGGAAAATGGATACTGATTAACTTCATCCTTTCCTTTTTCACTCACTTTTCAAGTTATTTTGCAAAAAAAAAGCTTGAGTTTGTTGCAAGTATAAAATGTATAAAAAAAACAAAGAGTTAGTTGTGCAAAATTGTATTGTAGCCTCGCCTCAACTGCCTATTTATTGCTTTGTTATTAAATTAATTTATATATAGGTCCATATTTATGTCTGATGTCACATTTTTGACTTACATTGAAATGTTTTTTTGAGTTTTCTCCAATAATATTCACCTTTTTGTATTGAACCAACATAGTCTTTACAAAAAAACCCCAATCTCCAAGGTAGACATGTCTACGTGCTGAACCGGTCCCGGCCCGGCCCGTCCCGGCCCAAACCGACCTCCTAAGGGCCGGTTCGTTGAACCAAACCCTTAGGGTCGTGGTTCGGTCCCGGTTCACAAATTTTTTTTGACCCGCCAGTTCAGACCAGGCCAGTTCGGGCCGCGGGTCAGACAACGGGCCACAGTGTTATTTTTTTATTTTATTTTAAGGGTCGAA